TCTGCTTGATGATTTGGGGAAGGCTAGATCCCATTTTGAGAGCCATGGATGTTGAAAAGAAAGAATCCATTTGACATGAGAGAACTCAGAATATTAGTAGTGCACCTTTAAATAAATAGGAAACACATGTAAAAAAAAAAAAAAAAGAATCCCTACCCATTATAAAAATCCATTTATAAGTTGAGTCAGCATGATGACGTGATATTCTGTTATACCCAAAGATAAGTGTCTTGCTCAGTCATCATCAGAGAAGCTTCTTCTCACAGTAGATGGGAACTAACACAGAGACCTCCCAACTGAACCATATGCAGAGAGTGAGAGACACTGGAGCACTCAGGTCTAAATGGGATGATACCCTCAAACCTCTCCCCGAGGGTTTGGGGACCCACACAGAAGCAGCAGCAGAAAGATTTTAAGAGCCAGAGGGGAAGAATAGGAAACAGCATCCTCCAGACACCAAAGGACTTATTAACACAGGAATTTACAGAGACTAGCGTCATACACAGGGCCTGTCCAGGTTCAAGCAGGAGGGGGTCCCACTGCTGAGAGTGGAGATGGACACGGTGCTCCCACCTGAGGCCAAGAAGCTCTTTGCAAGTGACATCCACTTCCAGAGGAAAAATGTGTTTTCAATGGAGCCTCAGTGGGCAGACAAACCACACTGAAAGGCAGGCCCACGCCCAGCAGTGGATGGCAACACCAAATGAACTCAGCGGTATTTTTCAGACTTTTTGTCTCGAATTGATTTGCTTGGGCGTTTCTTTTCTGTATATTATGGCTTATGATCTTGTAGGGGGTTGGAGTGCATGTGTGTGTGAGAGAGAGGGAGAGAGAGAGGGGGGAGAGGGAGAGGGAGAGGGAAGGAGAGGGAGAAAGATAGAGGGGGTTTGTTTTTTGTTTGGTTTTAAAGAGAGGGAGAAAGAAAGAACATGGAGGTGGGTAGGTGGAGAGGGGGAAGATCTGGGAGGAGTTGGGGGAGGGGAGAAGCATGATCAGAATATATTTTATGAAATTTTTTTCAATAAAATAAAAAATAAAAATTGAGTCAATAGTCAATGAACAATGTTTTTCAGGGGAGAGGCCAGAGGGAGGAGATCATGGAAGATCTAGGGCTCACTGCGGGCATTAACAGGATTACTCACACGTGATAGAACACAAGGACATTGTTCCCAAGATGCCAACGGCTTCAGAAGATGGAGCAGGCACAGGAAGACAAAAGCAACTCTCTAGGAGGGCCGAGAAGGCAATCTGTCATTCTTAGAAATAGTTCTGTACTTTCACATTCCAAAAATGTGTCTGTCTCTAGACAGAAGCCACACTCTGGTGCCAGACTCCGGTAAATGAACCCAAACACCACGCCCCTGCCGCGGCAGCTCCATTCATCCCACCACAGCCGGGACAGACAGACTGACTGAGGAGCCCCCATCGGAAATACTCAGAACCAGACACGTGTGGAGCATGCCTTTCTCCCAGTTTTGAAATATTTTCTTATCACAGATACATGCGATGTCTTAGGGATGGATTACAAGTGGAAACACTTGTGATAACAAGACAGAAACTCAGTTCTGTCTCTCAGCATGCACACACAGCTGAAGGTAATTTTGTACCTGTTTAGCATGCCTGTGTTTCTGATTCTGACCCATTTGTGGCACCCTGATAGCGCTCACAAGATTTCAAACAGTGGAGCGTTTTGTATTGCGGAAGTCCAGGTCTGGTCTACGTGAGGAACTGCCGTCCTAGACGTCAGTAGGGACTGGCTCGTGTATTAGGGACTGACGGGACTCTCTATCGGAAGACTTGAGCCACTAAGCCCATTCCATATTTATTTATGAGGCAAAGTGAGTACAGAGGTTGTCGTAGTTGTTTGCTGTGGCTGTGATAAAGACATGCCCCAAAGCAGCTTGGGGAGGAGAGGGTTAATTCATCTTACGCTCTTGGTCACAGACCATCACCGAGGGAAGCCGAGGCAGCGATTCAGTGCAGGAACCAGGAAGCAGGAACTGAATCAGAGATCGTGGAGGAACATTTGCTCCCTCTGGCTGGCTCAGATTGTTTTTTATACAACTCAGTATCAAATCACCTGTCCATGGGGGCACCACCCACAGTGGGCTGGACCCTCCCACATCAATGAATGGAGAAAATGCCCCACAGATATGCTACAGCCAGTTTTTACGGAGGCATTTTCTCAGTTGAGGTCCCCTCTTCCCAGATGACCCCACTTTGTGTCAAGTTGACAAAAACATAAGCATCCTGGTGGCTGAGAGTGGGAATGAGACCTTGTGAATTCAGTCCCCAGTTCCAGACTAATCAGCAGGATAACTGAGTTATATCACTGAGTTTATCACCTCATCCACAAGCCAGAGTAGGATTTACGTCATTAAACTGTAGTGGGGATTATAAAAAGTGATCCAGAAAGCATATAACTCAGTGAGTGGCATTTATTCTACCCACAAAAATGACTGCTTTCCTTGATATTACCAAGGAAAGAGGCTGAGGGTAGAGTTGACGTGAGATGGACACTGTGCAGACACGGCCTTCCCTACTGAGAGCTCTGAGGACCACTCCTCATTCTCTGTATTTACAAGTACAAGAACAGTCAGACCAAATTCTAGCATTCTGCGTAAGGAACACCTGAGGAAATTATGTCTGTATATCCAGTATGTCTGTTAAAATTACTTCAACTAAGCTAGGCATGATGGCGCACGCCTTTAATCCCAGCAGTCAGGAGGCAGGGGCAGGGAGATTTCTGCGAGTTCCAGGACAGCCTGGTCTACAGAGTGAGTTCCAGGACAGCCAGAGCTACATAGTAAGACCCTGTCTCCAAAAAACAAAAACACCTAAATAAATAAATAAATAAAATTTAAAAATTACTTAAGCTGAACATGGTGACATATGCCTATAATCCTGTACTCAAGAGTCTGAAGCAGGAGAACCACCAATTTAGGGCCAGCATGGCCTGCATAGTAAGTCTCTGTCTCAAAATAAGTAAATAAAAAAAATGAAAATTAATTGTTCACATGAGCAAGAGACAAAGAGAATAAGAAGAAATTTGATACTAACAACCAATAAGCGCAGTTCGTGCAGATTAAGTGTGGTGGGGACCGACCATGGATACAAACGTTCCTTCAGGCTAATCCAAGTGCTCCAGAAGAAATGTTCTTGACCGAGGAAAATCATGAAGAGCCCTTTTGAATCTGAGGTTGCAGTGTTATTTCTGCCTGCTGGGAGAGAAATTGTGGGGTCAGAGGCTGTTGACTGTGCCGTTTTAAAAGAGAAGTGCGGGAAACAGAAAAGCAGTTGTAACAAAGGGGTCTCACGGGTTGGGCCAGAGAAATGTCTCAGTGGAGAAAGTGTCTGCTGTGCAGGCCAGATGACCTGAGTTCAACCCCGGATCCCACAGCAGAGGAAGAGAACCAACTCCCCAAAATTGTCCTCTGCCCTTCACAGGTGTGCTATGGTACACACACACACACACACACACACACACACACACACACACACAC